TTAATGAAGCAAATTTTCTGTAAATTTTGATACTTATATTTATTTTAGAATTTTCAAAAGAAAAATGAACATATCGATTTATTATACCATTGTCTTCAATTTAAGTTAATGTTATCCTAATCTAAAATAAAAAATAATTTATAAAAACGCTTTAGTGTTTTTTGTAAATAGATTTCTCATTTAATCAGTCTTAATGTAAAAAAAAGTTTTAATTTTAATAGATCATACTTTTTAATCTCAAAGATGTATATAAATTATATAATATGTTTAGTATTTTAGTTTACTGGTGAAAAGCTAAAGGAAAGGGTTGAGTTCTTTTACTAGATTTAAAAAATTTTTCTTAATTTTGAAAGGAAAAATATTTTTTTAGTCTAATTATCTTTTTGGTCATAAATATCATAATCAGTCGTCATGTTGAAATAAATTTATATTATTATTTTTAATTTAAAGGGGATTTAAAAATATATCATGTCTAATTTTCAATATTTTTTTTGAAAACCTTATTGATAAGTAAATAATAATTTTCTATTTTTCAAATAACTGTAAGAAAACTATGTATGACAACAATGCGGTTTAAATTTCTATTATTGGAAGAAAATCTTGAAAAAAAGCAAACAATTTTTTCTGTGGTATTGAGGTATCTTAATCCTAGGAATTTTAGTATAAATCTAGACATCCTAATCTATTGGACGACTGAATTAAAGAAAAGTAATTTGGCCCAATTAAATTTTTTGATGAAACTAAAACTACTTGTTCTCCTAAGTTTCACTATAGATGAGGAGAAAATTCGATCACATTTCAATAGTATACACTTTACAATAATTTGAAAAATAGAAAAACAAATCTATACTTTATATACAGAAAAAATGTTTTCTTAAAATTTGTCACGTTTTCTCTTAAGAACAGTATTGATACATGATTATATAAATAAAAAACTAACAATATTAAACGTCTGAAGTGGTTGCTGCTGAGTCAGAGTTCATTCTATATGAAACAGCTACTCGACTTTTTCCACTGTGTTCGTAATCAGTATTTTCATTGTCTTCTCTGGGCACTGCGTGATACACTAAAATTACATCAAATATTAGTTTAGGTTTTTGGTAATTTTACACTTATATTTTCAATAATAATAACTTATAAATTTCATATCTAAAAACATGCAAATCAATAAATTAAATATATAATTGACAGCTACCAATAAATTTTATGGTAATTTTATTTAAACCAATTACCATCTCATAGATAGTAAGATAGTACATCTATATTGAAAATCAAAATTATTCAACATAATTATTGATTGAGAAAATTTGATAAATACTCATTAAAACTACTAAAATAAAACAAACAATACTACCGTAAAACATTGATAAGTCAATGCTCAAGGTAGATAATATTTTTTTGACTGGTCGAAGTTCTAATATTATTATTGGCATTTGTAATCAATTTCCTGGTATTTTTATTATAAGTAAAGATAACTAAATTCTCTTCATTTTATCAATAGCGTTAAACTGTAAATGCTACTTAGACAGGTGCCCTACCATCAAATGCAAGCGGCGTGGTTGGTTGATTTTCACCAAGTAAATAATTTAAATATAAATGATTAAGTAAAATATAAATATAAATTTGAAGACTTTAATTTGCTTAAGTTTTAAAAATATAGTCGCTAAAATGTTATAACTTGAATCATTTCTATTTAAGAAAATTATTATTATAATTGTTATCGAAAATGTAAAGTCAAAATATATGAATCATACTGATTTATTAATAGCCCGATCGATTGCAATAGAATACAAGTCTGTTATCAGTCGTTAGTTGTTCAAAAATATTATCCAAACTATTCATAAATATTGTAATAAAAACAAGTCAAACTAATCTTGTAAAATATATTAAATCCAAACTAACAATTAAATTTTTTCTTTTTATTGGGTGGCTAAATATTTTTTGAATACCTTTAAATATTTTTTCTTTAATTACCAAAAAATTAATCTAACAATAAATAACCAAGTTTGTAAAGAATAAATTTATATTTATCAATTTTTTTTCAAAAATGTTTGCTCTTACTATTTATGATTTTGGCGCCACTACATAAAATTAAAAATAATAAGTTCTGAATTATTGTTATATTCTAACATTATGAATAATAAAATTGAATTAAACTAAAATTATAATATGAACACAACGAACCCTGAAATCTTCTTATATTATCATACTACGAATATTCTGATGATATATTAAAATGTAATATATTACCCTATGATATCTTGTGCAACACACAATTGAAAAATAATGATAATAAAAATTACAAAAAATTTAATTTAATCACCTCTACAGAGTGTTCAGTAAGTCAGGAAACGGGTTTCTATTGTTCTCATTGTTACAAACAATGAGAACAATAGATACCCGTTTCCTGACTTACTGAACACCCTGTATATAAGACCCCTATAATGTTTAATACATTTTTTAATTGAATTATGCCATCGAAAGCAAACTATGGTTTAATAACTCACAAAAAGACCAATTGAATTTTATTGATCAAATTAAACGACCATTTACAAAGAAGCTAGACCAATGTTTTTCGAATAAACAATTATCATGGAAGATATTGAGTTATTTTTATTTACTTAGATTTAATTTTTTCATAACTGAATACATGGAGTAATTCTTTTTTTCGTTACTTTTAGTTAGCTACATGTTTTTCTAAATTATAAAGAATTTTTTTATTCATTAGTCTTATAAGAGTATAAATTTTTTTTAATAGGTACATACATAATTTAGCTTCTTTATTAGATAATGATCTAATAAAAAAAATTAATAGTCAATAACAACTTTAGGAAAGTATTTTAGAAATTCAAATAATTTAAAGTAAAAGCTTAACTTAGTAATCAGGACAGATAATTGATGAAGTGACTAAAAAGACAATAACATACCCTGAGGCAACAAAATTAGATAATATAACATAAAATTACTTTCAAAAATACAATAAATATTTTTAACAAAAACTAGCTTAGATATATATCTATTTAATAATAGATCCTTTAAAATACAATCTAGTAAATAGAAAAAACAAAATGAAACGTGAAATTTATATTTATTTAAGTAGACAACATGCCTAAGTCAGAAAAAATTTAAATCCTTCTATATGTGTTTAAATGTTTGAACTAGGCCTAAATAAGCTAGAAAAAAAACAAAAATACATTTAGTGGTGAATAAGGTTTCAATGTGTTTTAAACTTATAGATTGAGTATTAGTTTTATCAAGTATATCATTACATTTTATCACAATTATAAACTAAATATATTATTATTTTTCATTTAAACAAAAAATAAATCTATTTGACAGAGAATAGATGTGTGTACTAATGAAAATAAAAAAAAAACCTAGTACATTGGGGTCACGGCTCAGTGGTGGCGGGCATAGTTTGAACGAGTATATTGATATCTGACAGTGATTAAAATCACTATCATAAAAAACGCTTCGATGCAAATCTGTAGATGTTTAATATTAAAAAATTGGTTGATTATTCCAAAAGCTACATGATCTCCTATTTTCTTATTTATATCCTGATTACAAGTTTTATGATTTATAAGTGTAATATATATGAATTAATATATAAAGGGAAATGGTTTTATTTAAAAACAAAGTATGTCAAATGAAAAAAGTATATAAATACTACTTCTCATAAAAAAATTGTATTGATCCATACATTTTTCAAAAAGTTATAGGATAATAAAGTTAAAAATGTAAAATACAAAATCAAGAATTTTAACACAAAAATAGCATACGGTAGCTATTTTTACCATAAAGACAAAAAAAAGTCCGAATTTTTTTTTTTTTTTTTTATAATAAAGTATATTACATAAAATTTAATTTAAGATATATATAAAAGTGTCAGTATTTCCGGAACCCATTCAAAAGTTAATATTTTGTGAAAAAGTTGTCATTTTGAATCCCCCTCTTTGGGCAAGAAAGAGTCAGATTTATAAAAAAAAATATCAAATGATAGGTAGACATTATGCATCTATAAAAAAAAAATTATATAGATTCGTTCATTTTTGAAAATGTTATGGCAGTTTTAAGTAAAAAAAATTGAAAAAATGTCAAAAATTAGTGATTTTTAGATTTGTAATTTTCTTGAAGATTTCCCCCATTTACGGTGAATGAGGGAAAATTTTTCAATTTTTGAGGGTAATGTCTTCGACTAGATACGGTTTGTGATCTTTTGACATATTGTTCATCAAAATCGGTTCGGTGAGAGCTGAGAAAAAGTGGTAACAGACAAAAATAAATAAATAAAAACACATCGTACTAAAATTAACTTTCTCAGCTTCGCATCAAAGCTAACAAAACTAAGTTTATAAAATAAATTTATTTAAACATTATATTGGTATTGGGTTACCTTATTATAAAGTAGACAAAATAAATAACATTTACACCGATTTTTTAAATATTATATATCTAAAAATAAAAATAATAGTATAAATTCTAATAGAAATCATAGTTGTGTGGCATGCAATTAAAATATTTTAGGTGAAAATAAAATAATTTTGAATTGGTCCATTCTGTACAATTCAAGTACAAATGATTTATTAATTTTGGTAAATATATTACTAATGAATGTAACAAAACATTTTTGGGGGGGTTAGAAGTAATTAAATTGTCATTAGTTAACTTATAAAAAATATGATAGCTATCTACTCCTACAGTACTATAATGTAAACAAATACATGACATTATATATTTAAGAAGTATTGGTGTATAAAAAATCTTAAATAAAATTTAAATTTATTGATAAAAATACTGTTTATGTCCTATTAGTTACCACATCAAGTTCAAAATTAAAAGATATTGAAAAATAATTTGATAGAAGAATAATTTAACTATTATTATACAAAATCACTAATTGTAACACTATTACACTGTAATAGTTGGATAAAGATAAGCGGGTAGAATGTTAAGTATATTAAATTACATTCTAGTTTTCATAAATAATAACACATTCGTAACCAGTCTTGAAATTATGTTTTAATTTATTTATTCTATAAAAAATAAATAATTACACTTAAATTATAAATAAAAACAATTTGGAAGTTGAAACAAAACTTTACAATTATTTCTTATAAAAAATTCCAGGAAAATTAAATAAAATAAAATAATTAGATTAATAAAACAAATAATTTAAAATTATATTAAATAATTAAAAATTGTATTTATAAGTCCGATTAAAATTAATTTCTATTATAATAAATATTTAGTATAATTTAAACATAATTCAAAAATGGCAATCAATCATGAATAGTACAAAGTAAATAAGATTCAATATTCTACAACTAACTCGAGAAATATCAATGGTTTTATCTAAAAATAATTGAAGAAATAATACTTCTCATGTAAGTTATTACACTTATTACCACTTTAATGAGTCATTGAAATTACTATCTGCATGGGATGAAAAAATTAATTTGAAATATGTTTCAACCATAATATTAAACTGAAAGAAAAATATAAAAATAATAACAATAAAATATATGGTGATATGAAATTTTGTTTAGAATGTTAGGAATTTATTAAATGTTAATTGTTTAATAAAAGCAAATTTAAATATATGAAAGTATACATATTAAGAAACAAGAAAACAAGGGCTATTTTCTAAAAGTAAAAGACAAAAATGTCTGTACAGAAATGAATAATTTAAAAGTATATATTAACATTTTTTATGTTATCTAAAGAATATGATGAAATTAAGAACAAAAATAATTAAATAATTAAGTTATCTGTTCCTAATTAAAAGTAACCAAAATTTATTTAAAATATTTTAGCATAAATAGATTACTTCATTAAAAAGTAAACATTGTCATAAATGGTTATCCATCAAAAGTAAAACTCAATATTAAATTGATATTTTAAACAGTTAAATTATGTAACCATAAAAGTAAAAAATAAATATATAATAAATAATAAATTTTTGAAAGCTTAAAATAATACAAAGAATAACTAAAAAAAAAGAATTAAAAAAATATGTAAGTAATTATTGAATATAAAAACATAAAAATGCTATTATTTCTTTTTTATACCATTCTAATATATTAGACTGGAAATTCTCCAATGTGATCATTTTTCTATTTACTAAATAGATTAAGTAGAAATCATAATAAGTAAAAGGAAACAATAGTTAAGCAGCATTAGTAACTATATGATTAGTAAAGTTTTAAAAATCAATTAATCATAATAGGAACTAAATTTTCTTTACAGATATGAATTGTCTATTTGCAATATTTTGTTTTTTTTTCTACTCACTATGTGCTAAATCATAAAAAAGCAAAATTATGAAAAAATTTTTGAACATCGTTTTTTAACAAGACAATTCGTATACATTTTCTAAAAAACTAAAAAGGATTAGCTTACTAAAATACTTAAAATTTTGTCCCTCTACGCAACATCGGAAGCAATACCAAAATATAGTCATGCTAACAGAAATGTAAAAAAAAAAAAACATTTCTTACTTCCAAATTACTAATTTATAATAAATTGTATTTATTCTACATATATTATTTTATACATACATTTCTGATAGTCTCTTCCGCAATAGCAAAATATATACTTTTTGTTGATAATATAAATCAAAATGGAGATCAAAATTAGAAATATTACAACCATTCCTCCTAAGATTATTAATAATAATGTCATTAATCTTGCTTATTAATCAGTTGCAAGTTTTAATAGCTTGATTTACCATAATATAATAAATGAGTGTTATCTATTATATTATTATGACACTCTTTATACCAGTTAATAGACGTGTAAGGTGAGACAGCTTTAGAAAACTGGCTTAACTCACAAGCAACAGAGTCACAACCAGGAATTTGAAGCAAATATGGTTCATGATTACTTGAATTTTTATATGATACCTATAAAGTAATATTTAACAAATATTAAAACAAAATTTTAAAAAGTTTATCACTATCGTACAGTAACAACAAAGGTTTTAGAATTCTTCATTTTCCTTAATTCAAACAAAACTGTTGAAGCATATGCTGGCAACTTGCCATCGTATACATTTAAAGTATTTAATATTCCAGCTATTATAGTGTCATGAGCAGAATAAACCCAAAGCTTTCGGTCTGGTATCAATGTGTTGTTACTTTTTAGTTCCATGTGATTTACTATTTCTTTTATTAGCATACCTATAATTACAAATTTCTTTTTAATTACAAATAATCATATACAATAAATTGATCTATAAGCCTAATAAAAATGGTAAAACTTGACCGACCCCCAGTAGTTGGGATTAAGATGAGGAAGAAGAAGATAAGCCTAATGAAAGTGGTATCAAAAAACTCATTAACTATGATTTTTTACTCATGAGGGTAAAAAAAAAAACAGTTTAACATTACCAACAGTAATTTTTATTATACTATAAATTTTAATACTTTTGAAAAACATTTTTATTATTNTCATTAACTATGATTTTTTACTCATGAGGGTAAAAAAAAAACAGTTTAACATTACCAACAGTAATTTTTATTATACTATAAATTTTAATACTTTTGAAAAACATTTTTATTATTAAGCAGAGACTATATATGAGCAAAACAATCAAAGATAATATTGATATCTCAATTTGATTAACCCTACTTTAAAAACTTAACAAGTTGAAAAATAAGTATCTCTTATAATTGTTTTTCAAATAAAAATTTATTTTTAATAATTTTACCAAAAAATAAATATTTGGCTCTGAATGAATTAATAACTTTAAAAGTGTAATTAATTTTATTAAATTTAAGAATTATACCATAGTTCAATTTTTTTAATAATGGAGTATAAGTCTGCAGTTTAAATGACAGTTCAGCAACTTCTTGTAATTTATCTGGGTACACACTCTCTGTCCAATTAGGTAGTGTGTAGTTATATTCCGTCTGATAATGAAAAAAAAAGATTTTTTTAAAAAGATAATTTATAAATAGACCACAGTTGTTCTTATATTTTACCTCAACTAATAATACATCATAAAGAAATTGTAAATCATAAATTGGATTCTTCATTTCAAGTCCAGAATGCTCTTTCACATAATTATAGAGTTCTGTATGATTTTTGTGATAATTTTGTATTTCTGAAGAGTTCATTAGTTTATGAAATTCTTCTATGTAACGAGGACAGTTATCTCCAAATGTCAAAATCTGAAGAATAATATCATTTTAGGTTTAGTAAAAAACCAACAAAAAAAATAAACACACCAATGAAATAACTTTTATAAGGATAAATGAATGCAAATTAATAAAATAAAATAGTTTTAAAATAAAAATAAGTATAATTATGAATATTAAATATACTATAATAAAATTATTTTACTTTATCTTCCATTGGCGATAAAGAATGAATAGGAATTGGTTGCCATACGTGTCCTATTTCACCATTCCAAATTTGATCTTTTTGTGGTGGATATAAACCAGCTAGATTTGCACCAGCACTCATCAAAGCACGATCTATATTTGTACTGTGTATATAGATATCATCGAGTGAATATATTGCAGGCAATAAGTCACTATATCTATTTCTCAACCACTTGCCAAGTAAATAATGTCTTTCTTTTCCTTTCTACAGAACAAAATTAATTATAAATTAAAAAGTACATATTAACAAATTTAACTTAGTCTATAATAGCTACTTAGTTCTTAAATGAAATTAGATTATACTTCATTAAATTTTTTTCATTTATTAATAATATTTAAAAAATTTGACTTGGAATATAATGGCTTATAAATTAAATTTTGATCTAGACTTGTCTAGAAGTTCAACTTTTTCTTAAGATAAATCTATATAAAATACCATTGTTGTTGGTGTATTAAAAAAATATATTTTAATTAAATACTTACATTTGTTAGTTGTCCATAACCGACTGACCAATAAGATGCATTTCTATAAGGATCTGTAGGATAAGATTCATGATTGATTGACCGATCACCATGTCTATATATCTAATAAAATAAATTTCATTTTGCTTACAAAATATTACTATCATGGCCGCATTTGAAGGTTGATGGATGATAAATCAATTTCCCAGAAATTTTTAAGTCATACTAATTATTGTATAATGGCTAGGGTGGGTATGTAAAAAATCCAAATGTAACCATAATTACTTTAACTTTCAAGTTTAGATTAAGAAAAACAAGAGTTATTCTTAACAAAGTAAAAACTTTTTTTTTTTATCTGTGTTTAAGCAACACATTTTTTGTATCATGCTTTTTGACAACTAATACTTTTGTCAAATAGTACTATATAAACTTACTATAGATGCAAAAATAAGTTCTCCATATTTATCAGCTAATGGATCAATACTCATACATAGTTCGCCATAAAATAATGGAAATAATACTAATATAATTTTTTGCATTTTGAACGATAATGTTGTTGGTCAATTAATATCAATCAGAATTAGTTTATCAGATCAAAATAATTTTAAATACTGTCAAATCTTCATTGTTCCGTTATAAAATATTACTGAAAAAAACCAAGGAACAAACATTACAATAATATTCTTCAATACATTCAATAATATTTTAACTTTTTTAAGGTAGTACGAAAAATTATTTGCACAAGTGCAAAATGTTATATGTTTCCCCACTAATCTCTATTATTATTTATTCACTCTTTGAACAGAGAAAAAACAGCTGCAGTAATCAGCAAATAACAATAAAAACCAAAAAAATACAGAAAAACGAGCTATTAATAAAAAATAATATTTTATAATAGTAAATACGACCAAAAAACTGTACTTGAATTAAAATATTAATTTTAATCTGAAAATGTAAAAATTCAATAGTTTGCAAGTATTAATAATACTACTTACCTCTTTTGCAATGTAATAAACCAGCTGGATTTTCGGTAACAGATCAAATGGTGGACTTCAAAAGCAGACTGAACAACCGACATTCATAGCTACAAGTGTGAGAATGTCGTTATTGCCTAAAGGCCAACAACTAAAAAGCGTCGATTAATGAGAATACAGATCATATGTGGTAGTCGTACGAGTTGGGGTTTTATCAGTATACCACTTATCAATGATTATTATTGCCGTGCGCGGTCTGTTCAATTTTGGTCGTACGACTTAATCAACTTTAATTAATATTAGTAAAGAAATTTCGTTTTTTTAAGTAGCGATTGTTTGTCTAATTCTTCGTAAGTTAAAATAAACATATACTTGAAAATTAAAAAATATAAAAAATTTTTCGTTTAATTGTTTGCAAATGTTATCACTTTTAAAAATTGTTGACTGTAAAAGTGTTACTTTTTTTTATGGTGCGAAGATATATTAATACTTTTATTAATTGTATACAATATAATTACTACAAATAAATGTTTTAAACACTATTTTTCAATTATTAGTTTTATGACCAAAACCCCCTTTTTACCAGGGTTGTACTAGCCACCGTCAATTTTCTTTCGGAACTAAATTTCCTGTACCTGATAATTTTTTTTCTATCAATAATACGAGATTTCTAATTTTACTATCAATGTGGCTTTTTTATAAAGGGTTATCCAAATGCTTAATTTATTAGTTTGATATAAAAAAGTGGGTATAGCTCAAAAAGCGTTGACAGTAAAAGTTGTATTTCGTGGTAAATATTTTGAAGCTAATTCAATCCTTTTTTAGCTGCTCTGTAAGTTAGATGTAGTATATTTAAACATTTCTAGGTAACTAAGAAACTGTTGATTAAAAGAAGGTCATTTAAACTTTGAATGAAGGCCTTGTATTATATTTTGCACCTTGGTCTCCAAAATATTTATCTGGTTAGGTTTTTATCTTAAACCGTCGGGACCACAAGCCGTAAAAATACAATTTACACTTTTAGTTGAAAAGTATACAAAAATTTAAAGGAGTAATAATATTATATAGGTATTATTATTAATTTACGAAATACAATACTTGTACTTTTATATAAATAAAAAAGGAAACATAAATAAATAATACAACACATACATTTAATTATAAATTATTTTATTTAATAAATTATACGCTGAAATAAATGTTTGCATAAAATCGTTCAACAATACTATTCATTTATAATTAATAATTATTATTATTAATAAGGTTATTGTAAATTTTAAATTATTAATTATAAATTTATTAATATATAAGATGTACCTTTAAAAATCATTTTTAAACAAAATAATATTACTTAGGACAATGCTATATTTCAAAATTCTACTGATAGTTAATTAAATAACAAGTCTGAAAAATTATGTTTGTGGTCTTGTTAATATGAATGTAGATCAGTTAATAAAACTATAATATAATTAGCGACATATATTAACTAGGTAACACTATAGTGTCTACTTGAAAACTAAATAGGATCAACTCGTTCATTAGTATACAAAATGCACTGCATGCATTCTTATTTGACAAATTGATTACAATATTATTTTTAAAAAAGTTTTATTCTAAAACTTTGTACTTAAATAACATTTTTTAACATAAAAAAGTTCAAGTTTTGTTAGGACACCTGACAAAAATTAAAAAACAATACGTCTTAAAACTTTACTCTAATTTAAGATACACGTATTTAAATAGGATTATTATAAAAATATGTTAACAGAGTGGTCGGTTACTCTAATCGAGTAATACTCGATTACTCGCAAAATAAATACAATATTGGAAAAATAATTTTTGATATATTTTAGTTACATACTTGGTTTATCAGCTAAAAATTACATTAAAAAACTTTTGGACTATTATTTCAGAAGTCATTAACAATTTAAAGTATTGACTGAAAGTAAGGAGAGGTTTTGCTATTTTTATCACTAGTAATTTCCCGACCGGACTCTTCGTCGCGACTATGTATAAAAATGAGAATAACATCCAAAGTATTGAATCAAAAGTTTTTTTTTACCAGTCATTTTCTTAATTAGATAATTTTGTATTTTAAAAGTTAATTATATATGTATGTTTCCATAAAAAAAAAATAAAGTTAACACCCGTATACGTTGTTAGGGATGATCTTAAAAAGTAATTATTAGCTGATAAATCAAGAATTATATAAAAGAAATCAAAAGATAGTTTTCCAATGTTGTATTTATTTTACAAGCAATCGAGTGGTTTATTATAAACCGATCATTATATTTCATAATATACAGTACAATAATCTGTATCCCTCTGTATATTCAGGAAATATACATAGTGTTCAGTAAGTTAGGAAACAGTTAAATTGTTACAAACAATGAGTACAATAGAAATTCGTTTCCTTATTTACTGAACACTCTGTATAACAAATAGCTTTCGTACATTTTTTGTTATAATTTCAACAAATAGTGCTAGGGAGTGTTCCCCAATAAATTTAGTCTTTGTATTATTTTAAAAAAGAAAAATGTTCGGACTTAAAATTTATTTATATCAAAATTATATTCTTTGTCATTTATTTTAGGTATTTTTTCAATAAGTTCTAGGTAATTTGTACATTGAAAGAACCAATAATTGGTCGATAAATATGCCACGGTCATATTTATTGTATACATTTTTCTTTGTAGAGGTAACAACTACATATTAACAAATTATGATATTAACTAAGTATTTTTAAAAAAGAAATATTTATGAAGTAATATTTACCAATGAGGATTATCAACAAAATCTAACAATGCATCAATGACTATAGCAGGGAATACTTGTTGGAAAATTGTGATTATGAAATAGTTAAAATAACAACTCGTGATAGTTAGTGAGGTCTCCACAACATTACATTAAACGGGTACTTCTTTAAAAGCTGATTTTCTATTTCGACGATTTAAAAATTACTTAAAGATTTTTAAACCGATACGCTGTTGTAAATGGCTAAAAAAACACTTGAGTGCGAGCTGAAAAATCAAATAATTATTTGCACATCAGTGGGTTTTCTTTTAATAGTCGATTGAACAGCTTACGCATCATTAAAGAGTTAAGTCATGTAGAGCGTAGGGTTAATAAATAATAAATATTTCCACGTGGTAACCTAATATACATTCTTCAGTTTTATATTTTCTATCAATATTTGAATTATCATAAAATTTTTAAGAAACTTTCTGTAAAGATAAAAACTTGTAAATGTATTCAATAGAGTTCACAAATGGTGTCTCTGCCTTTTGTTTATTTTATTTACATTCATTTATATTTGAAGAAAATATAGATTTTTATTGTATAATTTTATGTTCTTATATTTAATGTTACACTATAACAGATAAGATAAAATAACGCAACGCGTGTAATAACTATTTTAATGTCAATTATTATCATTGTGCAACCTTACTCATTAATAAACGGTCTAAACATGACACAGGTATGTTATGAAATGCATTGTTTATTATTATTATTATTTATTCAGTAAATAATTTTGTGAACGTATGTGTTTAGAAAAGAACCCATAATCCTACATAGATAGTAAATTAACTAACAAAATATTACTGTAGTTTTATTAATTTTCTTAATTAAATTCGGTTTTTTTTTTGTACTAAAATTTTTTTATATTTTTTAACGACAAAATGAACCAATTTTTTGGTAAAAACATAAAACCAAACTTTTAAATTAACAGAAAACAGTAATATACTGTTTTTAAGTTACTATCTACATATTTATTTTAGGACTTCTAGACAAATTTTAGGGTAGCATTTCCTGTGAATGAATTTTTTATTTTGATCATCACACATTTTTTTTAATTTTTTATATATTGCTTTTTTTTAATTTGAATGAGTAAACAAAAAAAAAGGCTTGAACTCTATAATTTATATTGCTTCATATTTTAGTGCTACTCTTAAAACTTGCATTTCGGGGTACGAGCATCCAGTAACACCCCCACCCAATGACGCATCTATCAATAAAAATCATATTTCGCTTAAAATCTTAATTTTCAAAATCTTGCGATTCAAATAAAATTATAGGCTTTTAATAATATGAAATATTATTATTTTTATATACTGAAAAAAAAAATGAATGGTGTCCATATTTTCTACAATTTAAATATCGTCATTTCAGTTAATAGGAGGAGATTCATATACTTTTTCTTATACAATTTGATTAAACTTTAAAGTAGTGAAGTAACACATTAATAATATAAAAATCTATATAATGATTATCTCAACATGAAAGCCCACTTCTGAAATCCGTGATCACTGTTTGTAGCAAGGATAAGTTTATACACCAGTATGTACACCAGCCGACTAACTCCATAAGAATATTTGTAAGGATGGAACAAAACCAGTAATCAGATTGCATATTATCCAAACATTATAATTTGTATCATAATATTGTGATTAGTTGTTAATAAATTTATGTTTGTTTTTACTAGTAATCAAAGGAAAGTATTGTCATTAATTGTACAACTAATATCTAAGCCGTGTCCATAAAAAACGAAAATGCCCCGACTAAGGTGTGTGTCGAGTCGTTGGCATAATAATAACCTACTTTGTTTTCAATCAGGTATAAATTACAGCAAAACTTTGTTATTTTATAGGTTAATTAACAGTAGCTCTTATATTTTTGTAATTATCATTTTCATGTTTTTAAATTTATAAATCTGCTCTTAAATTTTAATCGATAATTTTTCATTTTCTGTGCAATTTGTACTACTTCTCGTGTACCTTGTACATTTAAAATGATTGCAGTATTAATAGGCTGATCAAATCAAATACTTGCGTCTGCGTGAAATATAACTGAAACGTTTTTCACCTACTTATAAAAATTCCCATTAAAGAGTGCAAGTTGTAATTTATTCATGTCACCCAGTCTTGGGATTATCTTTTCCTCCAACATTCAGGATTTTGAGATTTGATCATGTCGAAAAACTGAAAATAATAATAATAATATTAATGATATCAAAAAAATTAATATATAATATCCAATTTGTAACAACTACTTCAAAAAAAAATTGCTTCTGAGATAAAAATTAACAAACTGCTAGTAACTGTTACTTACTAATTAATACAATTATTTTAGTAGTGAAAAATAATATATAAAATAAACAAAAGAATCTTAACTAATATTTTTTTTTTTTTTGAAAGATTTTAAAAAGAATATTTTTAAAACATAAA